TAGCCCTGTAACGTCATCAGTGGATGATTTGGGTCTACCGTCTCCACGCTCGTCCTCTACGGAATCTTAGGAATGACACAGAAATAGTCTTTAAAAACGGTGCAATCGTTCCATAAGCATTTGGCGTTCACTGAATATTTGTATTGATTGTAAATTACACCAAAGCCCGAAGAATTTCTGTTTTCGTTGGTAGTGAAATTTCGTCTGACCTATCCTCAGCGTTTTCTCGTCTCAATTTCTTTCTAAAATTTGAAGAAAGACTAACAAAGTAACTGTAACGGATTTGGTATTTTTAGATTTACCAAAAAAAAATTGAGTTCACCAACTGATCGAACTTTTGTTAAAACCCTCGTATATAAATATATAATCTCATCAAACTCTTGGCTAAATGGTGAAGTCCCATGTAATAGCATAACAGACGAACTAGCGACAGAAGTAATCCCTTTATCACAGAAGCAAACTCTAGATTTCTAAGGGGATCACGTGCAAAGTGACTAAAAGTCAAAAGATCTTATCCATTTAGACCGGTTTTCCGATAACATATCGTCAAGGGAAAATAATGGGCTACCACCCATTTGATTTATGCCGCTACTTAGGGTACGAAGAACAGGATGAGTCTGTTGAATACTACTTCTGTCACTGTCCGGCCTTGACATCTGCCCGACCCAAATTCCTAGGGAAATACTTCTTCAACTATCTCGCTGAGCTGACCTCAGCTGAAATTAGTAATCTCGTTGCCTCTTTAAGACACAAGCAGGAGTCTCAGATCGAAGTTTGCAAAAAACCGCAAGGCTGTCATTATAAAGTTAAAATTTTATGACAAAAAAGGAAAGGACCCTTTTTATTATTCCCATTAGTCGTAATATAAATATTGTTATAAAGAATTAATCTAATGTCCTTTATTTTCTCAGTAATTCACAATTCAATTATAATGCACTTTACTATTTACAATCACTAGCATCAACTTTCACAATTTACTTTACTTAAATGTAATCTCCAACGCATTTACTTTACGATTTTACTGATGTTAACGCCAACCAGTTCACTTTGTAACTAACTCCTTGGCAGCTGAGTGTCCCCTTATATAGCAGTCGGCTGTTCGCAGACGAAAGCGTAGAAGCATCGATTTGTTCGCTATCGAAGGTTCTTGTTTTATCGTTTCTAGAATATACTATTTATCGGCTTCTCTCTTTCATCTGACATTCGCCTCGCATTTTCGCAACAATATATATACTAAATCTCTAATTTTTTACTACAACATTAACTACTTCTAGTAAGAGCTGTGGAGGTGAAAACCCTCTACTAACCCGCTTTCTAGCGAGGTGGTGTTTATCCAACGGGTAAGTATACATATCAACGACATAAAGTCTACCTAATTTTCTTTACATTTTCCTCTCCTTTTATGCGCGCAGGCAATTTAATGCTCTGCACAGTTTTCCTACAAAAACTATGTGTGTGTATGTATATACATATAAGTCGTATTACGTTGTAATACCAGTTAGTAGTTGAAACAATTCAAGCGCAAATCCTTAAATATCTGAAATCACTAGGAAATTCATAACGTCGATAGAGTAAAATAAATACACCACATACTAACGGTATCCGAATTTACTCTTGTTTGGCGTAGGCTCCACTTATGCGATTATAAGCCTCGGTACCTAAATACCTGTAAATTTGATAGGAAATTTGACAGCAGGAACTAGAAGTGCCTAAAAAAAAATTTAAAAAATATATGTAAATGTGTAGCTGAAATCAAAATTTTTTGGAACATAACTAGAAAAGAGAAACTGGTAGAAAAGTAAACGAAATCTACAGAATTTCTTCAAACAAATAAGCCGATCAGTATTCGTTCAGCGCAATTTTAATGCTTTTGCCTTCAAATGTACCTGCATCTCTACGTGTATACATGTGTTACAGTTAGCTGATTACAACAACGCTAGTAGCAATATATGAGGATATTGTCGAGTAAGAAGTGAAGCAGCTGCAACATCAACATGAGCGAACTACCAGAAAAATCCTACCAAGAAAACCTTTAAGCCCGGTGGGAGTGTCAGTTGCTACTCTTTTGTTTTCATTGAACTCAAATTCTTAGCAGAGAAAACTCTTCAATGATTTAGTAGAAAATAGAATTCGACAGAGCTCGGCAAAAATTTAGTCTGTAAATGATAATAAATTGAGTTTGAGAGAGAATTCAGTTTCATCAACAATTTTTCAACTGATTTTTTCTAATTTTTGATTCAAACGAAATTTTGGATCATTTAATACAAACAAATATGAATATATACTCATATATACTATCCTTTTTCCTAGCCGCTTAAGCGTATTTCGTCCGAGCTCCTCGTTAAATTTGTGGTTTTTCGTCTTGATGTTTTTCCAACAAAATGGACCTACTAATGTACTAAGCCGCCTCCGAGCGGCTGATGGGCACTTTTTATTAGGAGCATTTATTACATGTCAGAAATACACTCGGATGGCTTTACATTCCCTGCTTGCAGGAAAGAGAATTTAATTCTGTATAATCTTGGATGTTTGCTCAAACCAGTGCCAATGCCCTGGCCTTTCGAGTGTTAGTACACACTGCTAACAAGGCTTTTGCGGCTGCCATACATAACTCACACCTAAAAAATTTAGAAAATGTTTCGAATTTCCCATTTAACGAATTCAGAATTTTGGAGTAGAATATAAATAATCTAAACAGAAATCAAATAAAATTAGATTAAATAAAATTAAATTTAATAAAATAAAATAAAAGTCAACAAAAATAAATTAATATAAATTATAATATATTAAATTAAATATAATTGAGCTAAATTAAATTAAATTAAATTTAATTATATTAATTTAATTTAAATTACATAGAATTAAATAAAACTTAATTTAATTAAATTTAAAAAATAAAATAACATTAAAACAAAATAATAAATAAAATTTCATAAAAAATGTAATTAAAAAAAAAATGAAATAAAAATAAATAAAATTTAAATAAATTGAAAAAATAATAAAGAACAAAAAAACTGAATTAAAAAAATGAAATAAAATAATATAAAATAAAATAAGTTAAACAAAAAAAATAATATATATAATTTAAAAATATAATGTTAAATAAAATATGATCAAAGTAAACAATATTTAGCTTAATTAAAAAATCTAAAAAGTCAAATTAAATTAAGATATATAAAGAAAACATAAACAAATAAATTGAACATAATAAAAAAATTTAAATGAAATTAATTAAAATGAAAATGAAATGAATAAAATATAAAAAGAAACAAAACAAAATAAAATATTATAAAAAAAAATGAGTAATAAAATGACATAAAAAATAGAAATAAATATTATAACATTTCATAACTTTTTTTGCGGCTATGATTTATTAACTTTTGTTATAATTATTAGGTAAACTAAAGGTCTGGTTTGTTTGTATTAATTAAATATTTGTTATACAACAAAGAAAATGGTAGAAAAGACAGCTGTTTCGCAGAACTCCACATCTCCTCATCAGACTTCTTATGGCAGGGATGAAACCAACGGATCTTGACTTCACAGGCAATTGCCCTACCAGCGCCAACATCAGCCATGTAATCTGTTGTTGTATTATTCAGCTTATCATTAACCAACAACTATTGAGTGTGCTAATTTAGCCGCTATATTCTTAATGGAGTGGTTAGTGAGTTGCTTTGGAGTCCTCTATACTTTAAAGCTTTAAATTACATTGGCATTTCATTAAATTAAAAAATAAATAAAAACATAAAAGTACATTCTATTAAAAAATAAAATAAAATAATATAAAACAAAATAAAATAAATTGAACAAAATAGAAAAATATAAATGTTTTTCAAGAGACAAGCAGAATACGGTTCTTGTCATAATATAATTAACCTATCAAGTTCTGCTTCAAAATCTCAAAGCAGGAGCAAATTTCTAACTTAATTTGCTTATTTTCTATTGCTGGGAAAAGAATCTTGCAGAAGGCTGGCGAACTCTTTTCATGAGTTTTCTCTGTTATTTTTTTTTCACAGAACTGTCGGGTATATTCACGCATTTCGTCCTATTTCAATTTTGTTTTTTTTTTTTTGCTGCAAATACATCTTGCTTGACTCTTCACCTCTCAGTACATATTGTGCACCAAATTAGCCGCAAATTCACAGACTATCTAAATTCCAATTATGCGTCGAGCATTATGAAATTTGGCAACACAGCCATAAATTACCTCTCACTTATTACCTTCTCTTTGTTGCGTAAAAGTACCTAATATTTGCTGATACTGTTTATCACCATCTGAATGTCCTTAAAAACTCATATATGTAGATGCTTTATGTTCGGATAATATTCCAAAAGGTGTACTTATATTTACTCTGAATTTCTATGTACATTTTTTGAGTCTGACATTGTTGTTGGTAATAATACTGGTTATGACTGTCAATAGTGACGTGAGAGCCGAGTCGCGAAAGCGATTATAAGTCCTGCCCTCATTCACTACCAGACCCATTCGCTCCGCTTCTATATCAAGTCTGGATAAAGCAGAACTCACGGCGAGGTTGTTGAGGCTCATACCCTCTCTATTGAACTCTGTAGCTTTTATGATTTATTCGGTCTCATTTTTCGCTCATCCTTCAAGTACGCCTCTCGGTTGGGCGTGTGTTGGGTAATGCTGAATACGTCATTAGATAAAAAAGTTGTTCGAGCACGAAGCAGAATCGTAAGTTCCGAGTGATATACAGCCATTTGTTTTCCAATTGTTTTTCAAGAAATCAGCAAACCAAAAGCCGAAGAAACGGTAATACGACCTCTCACACATACGACTGAAACAACTCCATTTTCGAGCACTCAAAACTTTGATTTGATGAGTCATCCAGCATGTAGTCTTGACGTGTCACCGAATGACTTCGTTTTATGCCTGTTTCTATTAATTAAATTAAGAATTCAACCTTTTGCAACACCTGAAGTGGCGGTTGATGGGTTGATAATGCATTTTTTGAAGTTACCTCAATCAGAGTCATAAAAGTGCCTCGATAATTAGTGCAAAAGCTTGGAAGAGTGTACAGATCTTATCGGAGAATATTTTGAAAATAATAACAATAATAATTAATATTTGTTTTTGTTCTCTAGTCCCGAAATTTGAAAAGTAACTCACGTATTTCACGCTTTTTGACCTTTTCCTTAATAGAGCCGCAAATTAGAACTTTCCTGAATGTAGCCTTGCTGCACTTGATTCACTTTTAAGATGAGAGTCATTTGCAGCTAAGCTATAGGTTATGCCAGCTGTGCTGTCGCCATATAAACATTTTTATTTTTTTTTTTTGTTGTAAACACTGATTGGGAACTTAATAACGAACACCCTCGGTGTGTAATGGTGTGTGTGGCTGCGCGAAACGTGCGAATCAAGCGCAGCAGGGGCGTATGAAGTTTACATATAATTAAATACAAATAAATTTTTTAAATAAGAAAATGCCACAGCACAAGGCAGAAAATGACGGTAGTACATATATACTATATAGTGAGAGGCATGCAACCACTTGCTTTCCGAAAATAGGCGCTACTCCATGAAACAAGCAGAACTTAACGTGGCATATATGTACATAAATGCGAGTGTGTATAAGCACATATTAATAAAAGTCTACGAAAATATTGAACAGGAATGACCAGCATACGGTTGCTCTCCATACAACAGTCAGACGAGCGGTTCGTTTGCACTCATTTGCGGTGCGGTTTAACGAAACAAGCATACCATCATAAGCGTATTGTATTCACTGTAGTATGTGTGGGTTTGTACTCGTACATGAGAAAAAATCATTTGTTTGCGCTACAAGTTCCATTTGATTGTCTGCGGCTGACTGTTGCCCGGCTCTTACCTCTTTCGAGCGTTTGCTGCTTTTTCATTTAACATTTAGCCACAAACACAGACAGACGGGCGTACATGTGCACATACATACACGTATGTACGAGTATAAGTGTATGTATGTATGTACACTGTGTTCTGACCATATATGTATAAGCATTTGCCAAGCCGCTGCTACTAGCTTCACTCATACTTGCCTTCAAAAAGAAAAACAAAACATGAGATACGGATAAAACAACAACTTTATGTTTGTGTCTGTTGTCTTTTCTCCTTGGGCTTGATTGGATTTTTCAATCCATATGCAGAATCCAATTTTTTAAAGTTTATTTTTCGTTAAAGTTTCATTTGCCCGCTTCTTTCAGTTCACTATTATGCAAAACAACGATAACAACAACGCCGGGAACAACCAACAGCACAAGCAACCGGAACTCCTTTTGGCTAGTGGACCAACGTATGCTGTCCGGCTAGAAAATTTGTGCGACGTACTTCGTCCATGTTGAATGACTGATTTTTACTTGGGTGGCTGGCATGTGTGGGGACGTGTGGACGTGTGGACATGGGAATGTGTGAGTGTGTGCGTGTTTCCAATTTGTGGTGGTATGCAACCACTTTTGTTGTTATTATTGTTTTTAAATATTTTCTGTTTTGGTTGTTTCTTGTTATTCTTTCCTTTTTTCGGTTGATTTTTTTTTTTTTTTTCATTATGCCACTCGTTGTTTGGTTGCTCGATAGTTAGTTTGGCTTTCCACACACACACACAGACCCTTTCGTGTGTTTACTAACAAAGACTTTCCAGCTTCTGCTAACATGAAACGTCCCAAAAAAATTTTCTGGTTCTACCACAAAATCGAATTTTCACTTTCAAACAATTGACGTCCGCAACACCTCACACAAGAGCCAACGACTGACCGAGACTTTTCTGTTTAATATTGCCTTCTGATATCTCTCGGTGTTTCGTTTTGCTACCTTTTTCTTATTTTGTTTGATTTCAATTTACCTCGTTCACGCCTTTGCCTTTGCTTGTTACGCTTTACGGTCATTGCTTTTGTTTCTATTTTTTCTATCTTTTCATGTCTTTTATTTTCCCCTTCTTTTTAATATTTTTCATACGCATACATATGTACATACATACGTTCGTATTGGAAATTTGAAAAAAAAAAAACATTTGGAAAGTTTTGTATTTGTTTTGTTGTGGTCAGCTGAATTAGGCAACCAGGAACCAGGATTGCATCAAGCATTCGGTTGAATCGCACGCAGACAAAGATTGTCTATAGCTGAATTGGCAAAAACAAAAAACCTGTAAATAATAAACACCAAAATTGACAGAGAATTTTGGAAAAAAAGAGAAATAGTGACAAGTGAAAAAAGCAAAAAAAAAAAAAAAAAGAAGAAAGAAGCCGGAATATTTTCTTTTAAATTTGTAATTTTTGAACAAAAATAATCTATTTTTTTTTACTATGAGTTTTATTTCAATTATAAATTTCGGAAACACAACCGCCGATTTCGAGTGCTATCGACTGAAGACTCTGCGGGTCCAAAAGTTCCCGCTACAGTCGGGTCTTTATACCGGAACAACCCGGATATTTATCCGGCTAAGGACTGTCACTCCCGCAACATTCCCCAAAAGGTAATTTGGTGAATATTTTTGCGGCTATAACAACAACAACAACAACAATACCAACAGTGCTATCTAACGATTAATTTGAAAATTAAATATTACATAATTATAATTACATTTCATTCTCATCTAAGATTAAGGTAGGTATGGTTGCATTGGGATTAAATTTGTGGTGAATATGCTGGAAGAATTCAGTGTGGTACATCTAGGTAAGTACTTACAAAGGTGAGTATGTATACTCGTATAACATATATATGAAAAAAAAAGAAAAACGAATTATCTTCTGCAATACTTGTCATTACTATTTGAAATTTACGGTATTCTATTTTAGTTTTCAATTTTATTTCTATTAACTGAACAATCCATTGGAGTGAGCTAGATGATGAAGTTTTTCTAATTTGATAATTTTCGTTGTTAATTTGTTTATATATTAAGACCGGAAATTATTTCTTTTTTCGATATTCGCCGTTTTCTTCATTATGAAATCGTTCCAACGGTGACGCCCAACGGTGACGCCCTTTGCAAGCAACCGTCGTAAACGGCCGGAAGATGATGAGCTGTAGATGTGAATTATATTAAGACCAAAAACTCTTTCAATACCATCGATCATCCACCGAATTCAACGGATTTGCCCCTATACGATCTCTTCTTTGGTTCCAAAATTCAAGTTACTACTCCTTGGAACCCGTTTCGGCTCGATTGAGGCCGTAAAAGAGAGGAAACTGAGGTCGTCTGATTGCAACAGCTGCTGCAAAGACTTATTTGACAGATCGCGCTCATTTTTGTCATACTTGTTAAGGACAGTGCTACCAACTTAACAAAAAAAAGTGCTGATATTATTATTGAAATATTCAGTGCGGGCAGTTTAAATGACAATTTCCGGAAACTTTTTGGTCTTAATGTAAGCGCCAATGCTTACTATGGCCTTGGCCAAAAACCATTTGTCTGCTACAAGCCTAGTACTCAACATGAATACATTTCAACATTTTCCTCCACCTGCTTAGACACTTTAAGATATTTTTTTAGACGCAATTTTGTCCCAAAACTTCATATTTTAACAAATCGTTTTTATTTGTTTGTTTTTTTTTCTCGACAATATTTATTTATATATATATGTAACCGCTAAGGCTGTTTTCGGCCGAGCTCCTCCTCCAATTTGTGGTTTTCCGTTTGATGTTTTTCCAACAAATTGAGAGACCTACAGTTTATACTAAGCCGCCTCCGAAAGGCTGAGGTTTTTTTTATGAGCAGCCTTTATTTCATGTCCAAAATACACTCGGAGGGGTTGTCATTCCCTGCCGGGGCGACCGCAATTAGCTTAATTAATTAACTTAATTTCTGATTTAAATTCGTCTTCCATAGCTTTTAGATGTTGGTTCCACAGGGATTTGAATCCGGGGCTTCCGAATGGCAATGCGCAATGCAAACCACTTGACTACCGCGTCCGTCATATATACGTGAGTAAAATGCCGATGTTTTTTTTCCTCTGCAGTTGTATGCATATGAATATATACTCCAATGACAATTACAAAAAAATACAGATGACGAACCTTTTTTTGGTGCTGACCCCGCAAATCTTATAAGGATCACGATCCAGGTGCATCATGGAATGTACGGCCCCTTAATTCGGAAGTGCCGCCAAGTTGGTTTATGTCCACATCAAATGAAAGGCAGCCATCACTGCCGCCAGAAACTGGCGGACAAAGGACGTAACGCGAGTACTAAAGCGGTCATATAAAGGAGGGTAAATTTGGTGCTGGATTTGTGTTAGGAGAGAAACTCTATCGTTGAGTAATAAGCTGCAATCACAACAAACGACCGATATGCAAACCTGCTTTCTGAGAGTACTATACAGCAATTCGATACAACAGAGCCGTGGAACGGCATCTTCAACTCTCCTCTTACCGCTGCTAAGAAAACAATTGGCTTTCGGCAAAGCCAGAAAATAAGCTGGGGCGATGAGGAATGTCGAGCTGCAGTGCAGAGAAAACAGACTACCTTCCTCTCACGAGTAGGGTAGGATAGACACCGAGAGCTGCAGAGGGAAGCAAAATGCATTTGCCATCGAAAAAGTACGGCGGCTTACAAAAGGTTTCAAAATTGGAGTAGATTCTTGCAGGACGCAAAGAGGTGATATAGTGACTGGTGCCTGAACTGAATTTAAGGAGGGAAAACTTCTCCAGCCTGTTGAATGGCAGTAAAATGTAATACACAGCGAAATTGAACCCGAAACTCCAATTGATGATAATGGAAAGACATTCCACTACCCAACCACGAGGAGGTTCGAATCGCAGTTGCCCACTTAAGGAACAACAAAGTTGCCGGAGCTTACGGCTTCCCGGCAGAGCTATTCAAAAATAGCGGTGAAGTGCTGACAAGTTGCACGAATCAGCTGCTTTGAAGAATATGATCGGACAAAAGCTTGCCCGAAGACTGGAATTTAAGTGAGTTCTGCCCAATCCATAAAGAAGGAGATCCCGCAGTCTGCGCAATTATCGTGGAATTAATTATCCTCTTAAAATCTAATGCTCACCATCATCAAACTAATTCAAACTAATTGGACCTTATCAGTGTGGCTTTAAGTCTGGTAAATCAGCCATTGGCCAGATATCAATGATGCGGCAAAAAATCCTTCAAAAGAGGATCGACACACATAACATTTTCTGGCTCTTTGCCACTAAGTCTGCATGTGGTTTCCCTGCAAAACTTTATACGGATGCGTAAAGTGACGCTGGACAACACCAGAAGCGTAGTGGGAATCAGGAAGGATCTAACTAAGACGTTCAGTACCCAACGAATTTTCAGATAGGGTGCTGTCTATCTTGTGATTTCTTCAATTTCAATAATATGGGCTGCTGAGCTGAATAGAGAGGGTACAATCTGTGAATTCTGTTTTCTCTAGACATGATAAAGAGGCGAAGCAAATGGGTTCAGTAGTGAACGAGGGCAACATTAAATATCTCCTGTTATCATACACACAGTCATCGCATTCGCGATTTGGCTTCCACGGCACTGTAGACAGTCACATCTTCAAGGCCATATATAATTATGTCTAACTAGGAACCAGCATTGACACTAACAACAATGTTAGCCGAGAAATCCAACATTGAATCGCTGTTGTCAACAGGGGCTACTTTAGACTGAGTAGACAATTGAAAAGAAAAATCCTCTCTTGAGGAACAAAAATCAAAACCTACCAGTCGCTAAGTCAAGTCAAAGAGAAGGAGAAGAGGAAGTTGATTTCTTTAATTATAAGCACAACTTCTGTTGAGCGAAGGACTTCAGAATAGTAAAACACTTTATTTTAAACAAATGATTTTTGATTTGTCAATAACTTTCTTATATTTTTTATTATTAGAATTTAAATAAAATTAAATAAATTAAATATTCTGTTAAAACTTTGCTCGTTAATAAATATTTAGTTCTTTCCAAAGTTTGGCAATTCGGTTTCAGCATAATGGTCAACTGTAGAAAAGACATTTATTCAAGTAAAGCCAAAAGGAAGAATGACACCGTAAAATTTCTCAAAATTTCACAAAACTTTCCTACAAATTTATTTACATATTTATGTATGTATGAATACATATTTTTTCATTTCACATTTTGAAATCCATTAATTTTTCATGCTCAATGAAATCTCAACACTTTTTAATCTTTTTTCACACAACTAACTTATTATTTATGCATATATACTCGTACATACATATGTACAATACATAAATAGAGACATTCATGTAAGACATATGTGAGGTATGTGCATTTCAATAAGCCGAATATAAAACGTTTTAAATCGCCATAATGTTGACATTTCATTTTAGATCAAAGAGCGGATTAGTATGAACTCAAACAAAATCTTTAACTTTTACAATCAAATAGCAAACATATCATAACAATTGGGCTTACTAGGCAGAAGAGGCTACATCCATAACTATATTGATATATACGTGTGCACAACTTGTATTACATACATGTGTGTGTATGTGTAGTTATAAGTATTATATTGTATATGCATACATGCCATGTATGCATGTTTGTAAATATGTGGTATGAAAGTATGTAATCAATGTACATACATAAGTACATATGTATATGCCAATTACAACATTACTCACATTTGTATGTATGAATGTACATTGAGCTTAATTAAAAATAAAATAAGAAATTTTTAACAAAACTCCAAAAATACCGGCTTACAGTGCAAAATAACTGTAAATAAGAAAATATTTTAAATATTTATTAGAAACAAGTAAATATTGCAGTGACCAACTGTGAAGTGGAAATTGCTTTTGCTTGCGTCAGAAAGCTAAATGAAGCATTTATTTCATTTTACTTCACATTTTTTTCCTTGTGTGAATAGAGAAATAAGTAAGGATTTAAGTTCTGGTAAAATATTGCTCAACAATAAATTATTTGAAATATTTTACAATTCCAATGTTCGGCAGGCATTTATCAAAAATATTCTATTCT